CTATTTATATTTATCAACTATTATTCAATTACCACAATACCCCTCATTTAATTATACTTACTCTTTAAGCCACCAAGGACTTGGTTGCCCTTTCCTACTAATTTTCAAAACATCACATTTGCACTACCTCAAAGCATATTCTTTGATTAACTCATTGTTCTCTTTCTCTATACTTTAAAAATCAAACATATTTTAGAGCCACTTTTATGTTAAACTTATAATGACACCTGAATGCATTGATTAAATTTTTTCATTTATTAATCTTGTTTTTATCTAGACTCGTGTATTTGTTAAAAGCGACACCACTCAAACTTTTATAGAAAAAATAGATGAGAAGCTTGTCATTATTAATTACTTCCTCCATCTTGATTAGCAGATCCTTAAATTGGTCTTTGAACTTAACATAAACATGTATTTTTCAATTCCAATATATGATGACCAACCATTAATTATATAAGCTAATAATAAATCGTCTAATTCTGGATTGTACTCTTTATATATATGACAACCAATACACCGCAAGGAATAAAAATACCATAATAATAAACTAAGAAACACAAATGTTTACCCACTAATTCTATTACTTAATAGTCAACAATCAAATAGAAGAGCCAACAATAAGCAAACTGATTTTGGGTTGAGTTATCAAATAGAAGACATTGAATGCATTATTATTACATACAAGTCTCAACACAACCCATAAATCTATCCATGCATAATTTTTTTTCCACGTATTACAAATAATTCAATTAATATAAACAAATATAATCTAACCAAGAAAATAATTCACACCACACAGATTACTTAAACAAAATAAAAAACAATATTCACCTACAAAGTCATGTATTAAAACCCAATAAATATTCCATAAATAATTTTAAAATAAATAAATCACATGTAAGGTTTTAAAATTGAACTTTCCAGTATGGCGGAGTTTGTTGGGACTGGGGAGGTTGAAACTAGGCACAACAAAGCTAGAAAAATAAAATAAATACATAGAGTTTTTGGTTGTATAGTGCATTTTTCTCACTTGTCGATGAGTTTGGGGCACGCGTGAACTGGTCTAGAAATTATGCATCCTTTTCTTCTTGCTCTCTACACCAATGTTAACACGTTTGTTGCTATTCAATTTTTTATTTAAATTTTTAATAAATTTTTTGAAAAAATAAAAAAAACAGCAAAAAAACAATAAAAAATCTAAAAAATATATTTTTGATATATTTACATAATTTTTAGCATTTTCAATATCAGTTCAGAAGAATTTAAATTTTCAAAGGTATTTTGAATGCATTCAACTTTTAACGCGTTAATTTTACAATTTACTAATTTTTCTTGTTAAGTCAACATTGATATTGCTTGCTTTCAAAAATACAAAAAAATAAGAAAAATTAAAACTTACAAAAAAAAATCTCATAACCTGAGTCATGGAGTTAATGGGCTAATCCAAGTTATTTTTATTTTTTTTTAATTTATTTATTTCAGTTTCTCCTTCAACATTTGATTGGTTTGCTTTGTTGAGTTATCTTGTTTCATGACCCGAGTTATAAGATTTGGTTGGCTTACCTAGGTTTACTATTATTGTTTTTCTTTTTTATCTTGTTTTGTTAATTGATTTTTTTTTCTATTATCATCCTTTTACATTGGGGTTGGTTGAGAATCAAACTTTTTATATATTTTTTTTGTTATCTCAACCTTACAACCTAAAACACATGTTTGGTGAGCTAGCCTGAGTTGACTAGGGTTCTTTTTGGTCATTTTTTAATTTTTTTTAGTTCCTTCATTTGACATTGGTTTGGCTTGGAATTGAGCTTTAAAAGTTTTTCTTTTTTTCTATAGGGTTATTCTGTTCTTATGATCTGTTTCATGAGTTTGACATGTTTATCCGACACTAAGCTTTTTTTTTTTTCCTGGATCCTTCTCTTAAAACTTTTTTTTTTAATTCCTGTCATTCTAATTTCTTGTTGGTCAACATCTTTTTTTATTCCTAGATGAATTGAAAAATATGTTTTAGATATTATTTTATTAAATTACATTTAGCTCTTGCATTTTAATAGGTAAGATTGTGGAAGATTTTTGAAAATATTGACAAGGAAAATTTTAAAAATATTGTCAAGTTTTTTTTATGCATGCTATGGTTATTAAAAGAATTTTATAACTTGTTTGATTTATTGTGATTGGCCATTTATTTATCATATAATTGCGTAAAACTTCCTTATTAGATAAATTCATATCTATAACTTGTGTTGTAATTTTTTTTATTTTTTTAAAACATGCTAACAACGTTTAAGGTTTTTTTTTCAACATTAAACAAAATCTAATTCAACATGAAAAGTAGCTTTAACCACCTTCAACCATCAATCTAGTATAACTATATATTGTATATTAACAATGCAATTTTAATTATAGGATCAATATACTATATTTGTTATTCATTAGCATCTTTCCACACATTGTGTAGGGTAATCGGCTAGTTACTAACATGTAAAAAGATGCTTTTATAAGATTGAAATTGTAAACTTGTAATATTATCTCTTCAATTCTCTTTCATTTCCTCTCCTCTCCTCTCCTCTCCTCCTACTGTTTCCACTGCCAGTTCTCTCCCTCTAAATTTCAGACTCTCTATTTTTTTCTTCTTCCTTTTATATGTATAAAGTTCTTTGTTTAATTAATGCAATAATCCTTATTCATTTATATATATAGCTTACTCTTTTAAGGCATAAATAAACAAAGGCAACAAAGCCCTTTAAGGCTTTAAAATGGGTATAAATAAACAAAAAAGATTGTAGTAATTAAATAAAGAGTTGATAAATATAAATAGAAAGAGAAAAAAAAATAGAGAAAGTTATGTTCTTAGAGAGAAAATCATAAAAGGAAAAGAAGAAGAGAAAAGAGGGAAAGATAAGGGAAATAAAAGATAGTTAGAGAAAATAAGTTTAAAGGTAAGATTTAGATTTTAAATGTTTAAATGTGTGTTCTTTTATCTTTAAATTTCTATTTTGTTGAATGTTAGGATTTTGAAGATTGTGTTTTGGCTTAATTGATAAATTGATTTGAATGTTATAGGTAATAAGTTAATTAGTTGATTTTGGAAGATTTTAGGTAAAGATAATAATTTTGAGTTATAATTTTGTTTAAATGGTGAATTTGAGTTAAAAATCTTGATATAACAGTATGTAATCTGTGAAACTTATGGGTTTGAAGTTAAAGATGATGAAAATTTAGTTGGTCCCTCAAGTTATAAAAATTATATTTTAGTCCCCAAAATTTGAAAAAATTATAGATTGGTCCCTTGAACATAATCGAGATTATGGATATAATTCCACTATATTCATGAATTTATGATATTTTTAGCTCGTTCCTTCAATTTGATAAAAGTTAAAATTTGACACTAAAAATATGATAAAATTCCATATTAATCCCTAGCTGTAATATTAGTTTTTTCAGATTAGTTTGATAAATAAATAAGGTTTATGTAGTGAATTATTATCAATTATTATTATTTGTTTTATTATGGATTAGATTTCAGGAAAACCATTTAATTTTAGGTTTTTAGAAAAAATAACTAGTTTTGTTTAAAAATATACAGGGTTATGAAATAGATCCTTAGTTAAGTGTATTAAATATGTTGTGTGTTATTTCAAGTCATTTTTTAATATGTCTCTTTTGTATTCAAATAATCTTGATATTCTGCCAGCTTGACATTAATAGGATTTTCTTTGGTATCTGCTTTTTAGTTTTGTTTACTTTCAAGTCAAGTAAGTGGATAATTTTTATATGCATGAGAAATATTATAAATATTTGATTTGTTAATATGAATTGGATCATGCTTCTTCATAATATATATGTTGGTTATTATCCTTGTTACGATAAAATACGATCAATTGTTGAATCTGAATTCTTGATATGAACCAATATATATTTTGAATTGATGACTCCTCATTTGATTGATGTCATGAATTGAGTATTAAGATAAAAATATATATGTTTAATTATGATTATGAACCTATGGTATGCTAGTCAGAATATCCATACTAACAGGTAGTGTTAGTCTTTGTGTACATTGTATTTGAACCCTAATTGGTTGGAGGAGTCACCAACATGTGTGGACTGATCATCTCATAATATAGAGCCTCATGTTATTACATTCTAATTTTCTGACGAGTTTTATCATATCATATTCTTGTTATGGCCTATTTGAGAAGTCATCCTATAAAGACCAAAAGCCATAATTGTGTGTGTGTGTGTGTGTGTATATTACTGTGTACTACCTCGTATATGTATATTAAATGTTATTTACTCACTGAGTTATTGAACTCAACTTCTCATTATTTATACTTTTAGGTTTATAATTTGTTAACAGATCACTTTTATTAGACCTTTAGAACCTATTTTTTTGTTGAATTTTGTATTTTTTTTCTTTATATTTAGTTAATGTTTCGTAACTATAAAATTATATTAACTTTTATATTAAGACAATTAAATTATAGATGAAATTAGGTTTTTTGTTATTGTTGCGTTGAACTCTGATTAACTTGAACTTTGATTGACTTATTTGAATGATAAGTTTGTATTTAAATTTAAGTTCTTATAGATATAGAATCTTGAAAAAGAACTTGTCTATCTACTAGTTATGGATTTGGAAATCAATTTGTGATAATTATATTGCTATTTCCACTTAAATCTTTCTTTTTATTTCAAAACATTAAAAGTTTTTAGTTGTTAAAGTTTGGGAATTTTAACAGCTAATCATTTTGGAAACCTTCGTGTTCCTAATCAGTTTGATTTTTTTTATATAATGATCAGTTATTATTTTTTATTTTCAAGTTGATGTTATAGTTAAATAGGATGACATGTGCCATAGCACTATTGGCTGATCAATAATATGAAGTAGTGAAGTAGGTTCACCTCCAAAAATTTTGTTTCTCCTACTCATCTTGTCTTAAACCAGTCATATTAAGATTAAAAAAAGAATTTTATTTTTAATTATTAAGGAATATAAAAACCTCATTAAGCATATAGAATAGTAAAAAAATAAATCATTATTTTCAAAACCCAAATATATAGGAAAAGGACATGGAAGTTATATATAGATTTATGAGATGAAGTATGTGTAGTTTGTGGAACTGCAAGCATTAATTAACATTAACTTAATTTTCTTAGTTAATAAGTTTCAATAAACTATATTAACGTCTTGTTACAAACTTGAAATACTAAAATTGCTAGCCTACACACAGAAAAGGCAGAAACATAGAATGAAGCATGTTAAAGAAAATCCCTATCGCCTCTGGAAGTTGAAGGCTCTGATAGAAAAGGCAAATATGAACGCAAAGAGGACTGTCCAGCCAAGAACCGCGGCTGCAACTACTCCAACAAAATCATGGTCGAATCCGAAATAGTCCTTCACATATTGTTTCACTGTTTGAGTTTCGGTGAGGTCTTTCTGTATATCTCCATACTGTGATACAACCAATCCATACAAGGACCATGATACGGGGCATGCCCAGTAGTACCACCTCCACCATATAGGTATCCGCTGTTGTATTAGACCAAAGAAGAAAAAAGAATCACAATATTGTTCCTCAAGGTAACCAGTCACTATGGAAACTTAGAATTTGAAATGATTAAGATATATAGTAATATTTAGCACTTACTGGTCGAGGGACTATATACCCCGAGAAGAGGTTCCATACTAAATAAAATGCGGTGGAAACTATGGCAGCAATGTGGTGGTTTGGAGTCACAGCCACAGACATCATTCCATAGAAGGTGAAGTATAATAATGTGAAGTACATAAAGAACAGATACCAAAAGAACTTAGCAGCAGTCCATTCAAACCCAATCATTGCATAAACTATAACACCATAGACAACGGCTTGAACAAATACATAAGGAATCTCAATCAAGACCTGCAACATAAGATGAAGTTTCGGTGATCAATGCATGAAACATGCAATAATAATTTACTTGATGAGGTGAATCCTAGATTACCTGTGCAAAGGCATAGGGCAAAGCTGAATACATTCCGGCAGCTCTTTCTCTGTAGAAGACAGTTCTTTCAACAGCCACCACTGGCTGTTACAGCTGATCCATTTTGAAAACCAAGGAAAAGAACAGCTGCATACATTGAACCCATAGCATTGGAAAGATCCTGGGTAGTGCCCCTACAGTTTGTAAGACAAGTTAGATGAATTGGTAGAACTGCATGTGGCAAACCATCAAAGCGTCACCTTCTATATATATTGTTTTAAGTTAGCCATTGTGACTTACACTTTGGAGCCAAGGTCCCAGAACATTGTCCCAAACATCAACCCTATAAAGGTTGTGAAAAGAAATCTCACGGCAGTGTATGGTGGATTCCTCCAGTATGACCAGTTTTGCTTCCACAAGCAAGCCATACATTGTGTGAAAAATGATGTCGAGTACTGCGTAGAGAAATAAATGTCCTTCGAGCCAGGAGCAGGTGTGCTTAGTTCTGCAATAAGTGCTTTGTTTCTCCTGAATTAAGCCACGCATCAGAGACAAACTTTAGACAAATTGAACTCTAATTCTCAATTATTAAGTGCTTTACTATTTCATGTCATCAAAGCTTATTTGGGAGGGCTTTAGAATATTTTTCAGTACTTTAAAAAACTACTTTAGCTGACCTGAACAGATTTGAATTCTTGTAAATGTTCGCAAAATCAACCCCCAAAGCCATCTCTTGTGATGAAGAAGTAACCTCCAGCATCCAAGTTGCTGGATTATAGCCATCTTTAATTTTACTCACTCCTTCAATTTCCTTAACAATTAAATGAATATTAGTCAATTATAGTTGGTATGAGCATAGCTTTTTAATTATTAACCAAATTAAACATACCTCGAAGTACTTAATCAGATGGGTAGAGTGACGACCCACTGGCCCAACATATATCTCTTCACCTCCTCGCTTCATCAGGAATAACTACAATGCCATGTTAATAATCCAGATTATTATGTTGATAAACTCTTGACAAAGTTCTAGCTCAGATAATTTGTTAATAATTTTTACCTCATCAAAGGCATCAAATATATCTATACTGGGCTGATGGATGGTGCAAACAACTGTTCTTCCTGTGTCAACAGTGTTCCTAATTGTTCTCATCACAATGGCGGCGGCTCTAGCATCTAGCCCTGAAGTTGGCTCGTCCATGAATATGATAGAAGGGTTTGCAACTAGCTCAACTGCAATGGTTAGCCGCTTGCGTTGCTCAGTGGACAAACCATTCACACCAGGCAACCCAACTAATGCACTGCGCAACGGATTCAACTCCACAAGATCCATGACTTCCTCAATGAACATCTAGAAATGTAGAAGTTGATTGGGTTAGGCCGACTAAAAAAACCATAATAGTTAGCACAATCACCGCATAAGATCAACTTCACCAGCAGTATCCTTTGCTAGATGGAACCGGGACACTGATCTAGATCTAAGGATAAAGTATAAAATGGTAAAGCTAAATTAAACTTAATTGGATGAAACAAGCACGAAAACAAGAAAATATTCACGCAACCCAAATCTGCACGCTAAATACCTAATGTATGAAGCATATTTAAATTCAAGGCAAACGGTGCCTACCTTTCTGGTTTCAGAGTCAACTTCTGAGGGTAGACGAAGCCAAGCTGAGTAGAGTATGGATTCATAGACGGTAACTTGTGGAGAGTGAATGTCATTTTGCTCACAGTATCCAGAAATTCTAGCAAAAGTTTCTTGCTTCTTTGGGTACCCTGAAATCTTGATGTCTCCCTCAATATATCCACTAGTTTTCCTACCAGCTAACACATCCATCAAAGTCGTTTTTCCAGCACCACTAACACCCATCAAAGCTGTAAGGATACCGGGCCTGAAAGCACCACTCACACCCTTCAAAAGCGCCAGCCTATCCTCAGCGACTCCTTGAACTTTCATTTCCTGCAAATCTCA